GGTTACCAGCCACTCAGGTGACAGACCTGGAATTTGAATCCAGCCCCTGCAGGGTTTTCCTCTTGGCTCAGTTTCCCAGAATGGGGGCATTGGCTGTGATCCGAAGTTGTGGCCTCATAACCCACCGCCCTGGCCTGGGGGTAGCCAGGTCCCTTTTGCTTGGGTGAGTCAAAACCTTATGTCTAGGGACAAGGGGTCTCCTGCTCCCAAAAGCAGTGGCCACAGCGCTGGGCTGGACACTTGGATCAAGTCCCCAATTCCCTGGTGGCCTCTCTGGGCTTCAGTGGGCCCCTGTGAGTTGGTCCCCAAGCAGCTCTACAGGTTTCCTTTTTTGGTGGGGTGGGGGCATGGGACGGAGTCTTGCTCTGTCTCCCAGGCTGGAGTGCAGTGGCACGATCTTGGCTCACTACAACCTTCACCTCCCAGGTTCAAGCGATTCTCCTGCCTCAGCCTCCCAGTAGCTGGACTACAGGCATAAGCCACCATGCCCGGCTAATCTTTCTGTATGTCTAGCAGAGATGGGGTTTCTCCACGTTGGTCAGGTTGGTCTTGAACTCCTGACCTCAAGTTATCTGCCTGCCTCAGTCTCCCAAAGTGCTAGGATTGCAGGTGTGAGCCACCGTGCCTGGCCAGCTCTGGGTGTTTCTGAGTAGTGGGTCTCTGGGATCTCCTCCCCCATGGCCTGGGCCACCCCTACCCACTACTCACCTTGCTCAGCAGAAAGGAGAGTGCTGTCCGGCTGTGCCTCATGCTGCTGGCGTCTCTGGCCCTGCGGAGATGGTTGTGAGACCTCCAGACCCCTGAGAGTCAAGTACGGCCCTGTGGGACATCCCCTAGTCTAGCTCCCCTAGACAGGAGCTCCCTCCCACACTCTCTGCACCCTCCCTTGAATCCCAAGGACATTAAATCAAGGCGGCATGGACCACACAGGCACCAGGCACCAGCGTGAGGAACCCACCCCGACCTTGCATCGATCCCTATCCAGGGACAGCAGCCAGGTACCCAAAGCCCCTCCCCACACCTGTTCAGGTTCAGCAGCCTGGGTCGGGGCATCAGGACCGGCGAAACAAGGTCTCCCAGCCCCAGACCCATGGGAGACACATTCAACTCCCAGAGCAGCTCTGATGGCTTCAGGGGGATTACGAGACCCCGCCCCCTCTCCTGAGACCCCCTCAAGCTCACGTAAGCTTGCTCCACGAGGCCCAGGCAGGTCTGGCACTCACCACCACTGCAGAGTCCTGCCTGGGTGCCATGACCTCCCAGGGAGTGAGGGAAGGAGAAGAGAACCTGACCTGGCCAAGAGAGAGGCCCAGGGCTCCCCCAACACCCACTCAGTGGAGCCCCTTAACTGTCTGGGCACCAGGCCAGGACATAACCCACACACTTTCCCTGGGTGAGGCTCCCAGTGGGTGGAGGGCAGAGTGTCCAAGAGGGCCTGATGGGGCAAGAGAGAGTGGCCAAGAGGGTGACCGGGTGTGGAGGGGGAGGGGTGGGGGCGGGCAGAGGAAGGAGGCGGGAAAGGAGGGAAGGGAGGCGTAGGAGTGAGGAGGCTGGGTGAGAGGTGTTAAGTTTATTTATTTATTTTTATTTATTTATTTATTTTGAGACAGAGTCTCACTCTGTCACCCAGGCTGGAGTGCAGTGGCACGATCTTGGCTGACTGCAAGCTCTGCCTCCCAGGTTCACGCAATTCTCCTGCCTCAGCCTCCTGAGTAGCTGAGATTACAGGTGCCCGCCACCACGCTTAGATAATTTTTGTATTTTTTTTTTTTTTAGTAGAGATGGGGTTTCACCATGTTGGTCAGGCTGGTCTCGAACTCCTGACCTTGTGATCTACCCGCCTCAGCCTTCCAAAGTGCTGGAATTACAGGTGTGAGCCACCGCGCCCCGCCTGAGAGGTGTTAAGTTTAATTGTTCATGTGTTTGCATATGATGGCGAGGGGTGCGCAAAGGAAGACGGTGGTAGGGGACCAGCAGCTCTGGGAATGGGGGGATTTTATCAACTTAGGGTCTAGTATATGTGCTTCCAAGCAGAGCCCATGGAGTGTAGCCTAGGGAGCTTGGGGGCTCCAGAAAAGCTGCCCACTGCACTGTGCCGCCCAAGGCAGACCAAAGACCCTCTCTGGTTGACCCCCTATCCACAAACTGTTGGGGCTGCAGATGCAGCTAGAAATGGGGCCCCCAGGAGGGTGATGGGTGGGGTGGGAGGTGGGAGGGGCTGTGGCCAGGGGAAAGGGGCTGATGTGTGGGACTGTTGGCCTCCAGAGCTGCTGTGAGTTAATGTTTCCCCAGCATCGCCAGCTGCCCAGGAGGCCCCAACAGCGTCTCCCCTCCAAAGATATCAAAGCATGACCCAGCCTCAAGCCAGCGTTTGCCCCTCTGTACTGGGTGACCTGGACCCCGTGGCCTCTCTGAATGTCCATTTCAGGGGCAGCTCCAGGCTGGAGTCGGGGAGACGGCTTGGGGGCACCTCCCAGGACAAGGCACACAACTGACACCCAGCACTGAGCCTCTGTGTCCCCCTTCTGATAAAAAAGTCTGGACAGGGCGTGGGCACAGTGGCTCACACCTGTAATCCCAACACTTTGGGAGGCTGAGATGGGTGAATCACTTGAGGCCAGGAGTTCAAGACCTCGTTACCATATTAGCCTGGCTAATACAGTAAAAATACAAAAATTAACTGGGCATGGTGGCGCATACCTGTAGTCCCAGCTACTCAGGAGGCTGAGGCACAAGAATGACTTGGGGCCAGGCGCTGTGGCTCATGCCTGTAATCCCAGCACTTTGGGAGGCCAAGGTGGGTGGGTCACCTGAGGTCTGGAGTTTGAGACCAGCCTGACCAACATGGTGAAACCCTGTTTCTACTAAAAATACAAAAAAATTAGCTGGGTGTGGTGGCAGGCGCCTGTAATCCCAGCTACTTGGGAGGCTGAGGCAGGAGAACCGTTTGAACCCGGGAGGCAGAGGTTGCAGTGAGCCGAGATCGCGCCACTGCACTCCAGTGTGGGCAACAAGAGTGAGACTCCGTCTCATTAAAAAAAAAAAGAAAAAAAGGCCGGGTGGCCGGGCACGGTGGCTCAAGCCTGTAATCCCAGCACTTTGGGAGGCCGAGACGGGCGGATCATGAGGTCAGGAGATCGAGACCATCCTGGCTAACACGGTGAAACCCCGTCTCTACTAAAAAATACAAAAACTAGCCGGGCGAGGTGGCGGGCGCCTGTAGTCCCAGCTACTCGGGAGGCTGAGGCAGGAGAATGGCGTGAACCCGGGAGGCGGAGCTTGCAGTGAGCTGAGATCTGGCCACTGCACTCCAGCCCGGGTGACAGAGCAAGACTCCGTCTCAAAAAAAAAAAAAAAAAAGAATGGCTTGAACCCAGGAGTCAGAGGCTACAGTGAGCCAAGATTGCACTACTGCACTCCAGCCTAGGTGACAGAGGGAAACTGTCTCAAAAAAGAAAAAAAGAGGCCGGGCGCGGTGGCTCACGCCTGTAATCACAACACTTTGGGAGGCCAAGGCAGGCGGATCACGAGGTCAGGAGATCGAGACCATCCTGGCGAACACAGTGAAACCCCGTCTCTACTAAAAATACAAAAAAATTAGCTGGGTGTGGTGACAGGCGCCTGTAGTCCCAGCTTCTTGGGAGGCTGAGGCAGGAAAATGGCGTGAACCCAGGAGGCAGAGCTTGCAGTGAGCCGAGATCGCGCCATTGCACTCCAGCCTGGGCGAGACAGCGAGACTCCATCTCAAAAAAAAAAAAAAGAAAAAGAAAGAAAAAAAGAGAAAGAGATGGAGTTCTGCCACATTGCCCTATCTGATCTCAAACTACCAAGGTCAAGCAATTTGCCCACCTCAGCTTCTCAAAGTACTGGGATTACAGTGGTAAGCCACCATGCCCAGCTTCCAAGTTTTGTTTGTTTGTTTTGAGACAGAGTCTTACTCTGTCGCCTCTACTGAAGTGCAGCGGTGCAATCTCGGCTCACCGCAACCGCTGCCTCCCAGGCTCAAGCAATTCTCCTGCCTCATCCTCCCTAGTAGCTGGGATTACAGGCGCCCACCACCACACCAGCCAATTTTTGTATTTTTAGTAAAGATGGAGTTTCACCATGTTGGCCAGGCTGGTCTTGAACTCCTGACCTCAAATTATCCACCTACCTTGGCCTTCCAAAGTACTAGGATTACAGGCATAAGCCACCACGCCCAGCCCCAATTTTTTTTTTTTTAAATTAGCCAGGCATACTGTCCCCGTGTAGTCCCAGCTACTCAGGAGGCTGAGGCAGGAGGATTACTTGAGCCTGGGAGGTTGAGGCTGCAGTAAGCCAAGATTGCACCATTGCACTCCAGCCTGGGCAACAGAGCAAGATCCTATCTCGAAGAAAAAAAAATAGTTACCTCCTCAAAGAGGCCTCCCTACCTTCTCAGCAAACCTAGACACCACAACCCTTGTGGTTTGGCCACCGCAGCCCTTGTGGTTTGGCCACAGTCTCAGTCTGTGACTCTATGGCCTTCCGTGCCACCTGCAAAGATCTCATGTGATCTCCTGATTCTTTTTCTTTTTATTTTTTTAGATAGAGTCTTGCTCTGTTGCCCAGGCTGGAGTGCAGTGGGGTGATCTCGGCTCACTGCAACCTCTGCCTCCTGGGTTGAAGCGATTCTCTGCCTCAGCCTCCTGAGTAGCTAGGATTACAGGCACCTGCCACCATACTCAGCTAATTTTTGTATTTTTAGTAGAGACAGAGTTTCACCATGTTAGCCAGGCTGGTCTCAAACTCCTGAGGTCAAGAGATCTGCCCACCTCAGCCTCCCAAAGTGCTGGGATACAGGTGTGAACCACCACGCCCAGCCAAGTGATCTGCTGATTCTTATCTGTCCCCACCTTGAGTCTGTGGCTCCCCTGAGAGTAAAGACATGGTCCCCACTGTGACTCCAGTACAGAGCCCAGCACATAGTAGGTGCTCAGCTAATGTTTGTCACACGAATCCATAACTCAGGAGGCCTCGGATGAATGGTAGGGGGTTTATTTTCTCAGGTTCTGCTCCTCCCCAGGCACCCCAGCCCCATCCACGCTCGCATCTCTGTTGGCTCCTCAGGGCTCACTCCTGGAGGTGGTGGGCAAAGGACAATCTGTCATTCATGGATCCCTGAGGAAGGAACACACAGGGAGGCATTCAGACACCAACAGACTCTGCAGCCCAGGCTGGTCCTGCTTGGGAGGGCAGCTCCCCCAACCCTACCTTGGCCCCAGGGCTGAGCCCCCAGCCCAGCCCCTACCTTACCATGGACACCTCGTCCAGCTTCTCAAACGTGGACTCATCCCGGTGACAGAACCTCACAGCCGTGACCACAGACCCGATGAGCAAAAGAGACACCAGCAAACACACGACCACCACCACACCCGGGTTCCTGTGTAACTCAGGGGGCCCAGTGTCACCTGGAGCTGTGGGAAGGAGCTCAGAGTCAGCCCTGGGCCCTATTGCCCCCAAGCCTAAGACACCCACCAGGGCCCAGAGCCTTTTAAATCTGTTCTCAGAAAGCTGAACTCTCTTCCCTCTCCAGTTGAGGCTGCCACTTTTAAATCATTTATTTTAGAGACAGGGTCTCACTCTGTCACTCAGGTTGGAGTGCAGTAGTGCGATCACAGCTCACTGCAGCCTCGATCTCCTGGGCTCAAGTGATACTCCCACCTCAGCCTCCCGAGTAGCAAGGATTACAGGCATGCACCACCATGCCTGACCAATCTTTTTTTTTTTTTTTTTAATTGAGACAGGGTCTTGCTCTGTCACACAGGCTGGAGTGCAGTGGCGTTATCTCAGCGTACTGCAACTTCCATCTCCCAGGATCTAGTGATCCTCCTACCTCAGCCTCCCAGGAGCTGAGACTACAAGTGTGTGCCACCACACCCAGCTAATTTTTGTATATTTAGTAGAGATGAGGTTTTGCTATGTTGCCCAGGCTGGTCTCGAACTCATTGACTCAGGTGATCCTTCTGCCTCAGCCTCCCAAAGTGCTGGAATTACACGTGTGAGCCACTGAGCCCAGCCTAATTTTTAAATTTTATTTTATTTTATTTATTTATTTATTTATTTATTTTTGAGATGGAGGTTTTTTTTGTTTTTTTTTTTCCCCCCTCCAAGACGGAGTCTTGCTCTGTCTCCCAGGATGGAGTGCAGTGGTGCAATGTCGGCTCACTCCAATCTCCATCTCCTGGGTTCAAACAATTTTCCTGCCTCAGCCTCCCAAGTAGCCTGGATTACAGGCACCCGCCACCATGCCTGGCTAATTTTTGTATTTTTAGTAGAAATGGAGTTTCACCATGTTGGCCAGGCTGGTCTTGAAATCCTGACCTCAGGTGATCCGTCCACCTTGGTCTCCCAAAGTGCTGGGATTACAGATGTGAGCCACCACGCCAAGCCATTTATTTATTTGTTTGTTTTTATATTTATTTATTTATTTATTTATTTATTTATTGAGACGGAGTCTCGCTCTGCAGCCCAGGCTAGAGTGCAGTGGAGCGATTTCATCTCACTGCAACCTCTGCCGCCTGAATTCAAGTGATTCTCCTGCCTCAACCTCCCGAGTAGCTGAGAATACAGGCGTCTGCCACCGCGCCTGGCTAATTTTTGTAGTTTTAGTAGAGTCGGGGTTTCACCAAGCCAGGCTAGTCTTGAACTCTTGACCTCGTGATATACCCCCCTTGGCCTCCCAAAGTGTTGGGATTACGGGCGTCAGCCACCATGCCCGGCCATTCTTAGAGATTTTTTGTAGAGACAAAGTCCTGCTATTTTGCCCAGGCCCAAACACATAATGTATAACCTGTCTCCCCACCACAGCAAATATTAGTTTCTCTCTTTGCCCATCGCTGCGTGCCCAGCCCCGACATACACTAGGCACTTAATAAATGCGCATAGCATGAAGGACTTTAGACAATGGAGCAGAGACAGCAAGCCCTTCCTAGAACATTCTCGGGGCTGTACCTCCCCCTAGTGGTCAGTTCCCAAACTGCAGTCTGTTACACCCGCCACCTCCCTACAAACACCCAAATCTCTTAATACTTACCTGGGCCAGGGGGCTCCAAGGTCTGGTCAGTGGAGGTCAGGGGCTCCGTTCCGGGGCTGTGGGAAGTGGGGCTCCAGTGCGGGGTCAGGGATTCGGAACTGGGGAGGGTGGAATGGGAAGAGGGGGTGAGCTCTGCATTGGGGGAACCAGAACTAGGGTGCGTGGTTGTCTCTGGTTGTGGGGACGAGGGAATCATCCTTGACTCTGTGGAACCGGGGCTAGGCTGGATGGTAGGGGTTGCCCCTGAACTTGAGGGGCTGAGGTGGGTCATGGAGCTTGTCTCCAAACTCAGGGGGCTGGAGTAGGTTTTGGGGGGTTCCCCTGAACTGAGGGTGTTGTGGGTGAAGGAAGAAGAAATCAGAGAGCTGAGAGATGATGTCTCCATACTGTTCTCTGAGGTCGTACCTGAAAACAAAAACATCATTGGAAGCCAGGCGCGGTGGCTCACGCCTGTAATTCCAGCACTTTGAGATGTCAAGGTGAGAGCATCACTTGAACCCAGGAATTAGAGACCAGCCTGGGCAACATAGCGAGTCTCTCTCTCTCTTTTTTTCTTTTTTCTCTTTTGAGATGGAGTCTCGCTCTGTCACCCAGACTGGAGAGCAGTGACGCGATCTCGGCTCACTGCAACTTCCACCTCCTGGGTACAAGCAATGCTCCTGCCTCAGCCTCCACGCCTGGCTACCTTTTGCATTTTTAATTTCACTGTGCTGGCCAGATTGGTCTCGAACTCCTGAACTCAGGTGATTCACCTGCCTTGGCCTCCCAAAGTGCTGGGATTACAGGCATAAGCCATCGTGCCCAGTCTTTTTATTTTTATTTTTAATTCATTTATTTGCCCAGGTCATAGGGAGACCCGAAAGATTTAAGACACCATGTGAGCGCTCAGTGGGAAACTGAGGCTCCCCCTCAAATTCATGCTCCTTGTCTGACGTCCCACAGCCCGGGTTCAAGTGCAGATCAGCGTTCCTCTTGGCTCAGATCTCTAGAAGCCCTTTGGATATGGGCAGTGACTGCATCCCAGGCAGCGCTGGGTAGCTCCTTTACATTTTCTGGGACTCAGTTTTCTTTTCTGTAAAATGGAAATCATGTGGAGTTGGTGCCTCTAACAGTTCATCAGTCAGGTTCGTAGTGGGTGTACGCAAGCCAGGTGCTCCCAGCTACTGAGGAGGCTGAGGCGGGAGGATCTCCTGACCCCAGGAATTCAAGGCTGTAGTGCACCATGATTGCACCACTGCACTCCCGCCTGGGAGACATAACGAGACCCTGTCTCTACCAAAAAATAAAACAAAAATTAGCCAGGCGTGGTAGTACATGCCTAGTCCCAGCTACTCAGGAGGTTGAAATAGGAGGATCGCTTGAGTCCAGGAGTTCAAGGCTGCAGTAAGCCATGATCATGCCACTGAACTCCAGCCTGGGCAACAGAGCAAGACCCCATCTCTAAAAAAAAAAAAAAAAAAAAAAAAAAGGGGCCGGGTGCAGTGGCTCACACCTGTAATCCCAGCGCTTTGGGAGGCCAAGGTGGGCAGATCACAAGGTCAGGAGATCGAGACCATCCTGGCTAACACGGTGAAACCCCGTCTCTACTAAAAATATAAAAAATTAGCCAGGCGTGGTGGCGGGCGCCTGTAGTCCCAGCTACTCGGGAGGCTGAGGCAGGAGAATGGAGTGAACTCAGGAGGCAGAGCTTGCAGTGAGCGGAGATGGCACGATTGCACTCCAGCCTGGGTGACAGAGCAAGACTCCGTCTCAAAAAAAAAAAAAACTACAATAGAATAGCAACATAGTGGGCGTACTGTGACACTCAACTATAAAGATCTACCTATGAGCTCAGAGAGGATCAGCCCTAATTTTCCCCAGGTACCCCTAGGCTAACCTAAACTTTGATGGCAGACACAAAGACACAGGCACTGGGAACATGTCTCTGGAACCCACCCTCCCGCACGGTAGTCCAACCACTTCCTGGCTCCCATCCCATCCCAGGCATGGAGTCCAGGGACCAGGCTGAGGGCGGGTAAATAGTTCATGAGCCACCTCCCACAATGACTTCGCACCCAGTTCCAGGTATCTAGGCCTCTTAGGTGTGTACAAGTTCATTCATCAACTCTCTGCCCCACCCATCCACTCTGCTCTGGGCCAAACTTGGTGCTTCCTCCTTGACTCACTCCAGGCAGCAGAAATGCGGAAGTAACACTCAACACTGGCCCTGAGAGGGTGCTGGGTCCACATGCTGCCCTCCCCGGATCTCTGTGTAGCCCCCCAGGACCTGTGGGGATGACAGCTGAGTCTAGAAGAGGCATGGAACTCCGGCTGGACTTCATTCCCATTTGACAGATGAGAAACTGAGGCTCAGAATAGCAGAGGGTCTGGCCTGAGGTGACTGGGGAGGTGGGCAGAAGGCCCCTCAAGGAACTTCGTCCTCTGTTTCTGCTGAAATGAAGAAGATTCAGAGGCCATAGTGGACCGTAAGCCAAGTCAGAATTCTGGGGAACTGAGTGCTTAGTGAACTGAGGAAAAGCTGTGGACTTAAAAAAGGAAGAGTTGGAGGACACAAGCCCTGCTGAGTGCCTGGCACTGAGTAGGCACTGGTGAGCTGCTGAAGAGTTGACCAGAAGGTAAAAATAAAGCTGTTTCTAGGCACTGTGCTGGGTGTTTGCTTTTCCCAGAGACTCCTAGACTGGGAGGCTCACATGAGCCAAGTCAACCAGTTCTAATCTGAGTCTGGGACAAGCTGGACTGAGCCTCAGTTTCCTGAGCTGTGAAATGGGAATACAAGTGGTGCCTTCTGAATGAAACCGTTCCCTACAATGAGCATTTCCGCCATGGTGGCCTCTGCTCTGCTATTACAGGTCTGAGGGGTAGGACACCAGTCAGAGAGAGTGACGACACAGTGGCAGGTAAAGGGCAGAAAAAGGGAATGCAAGAAGTTCAAGGCTCCTCCCCTCCACCCTAGGCAGTGTCTTATAGCACAGCAAGAGGGAATTAAGTCAGACATCCAGAAGAACTTCTCATGGGAACCACAGATGTTTGATGACCAGGAAGTGAGTCCCTGTTCCCTGGAACACCCATGGCCCTGAGGTCTTCGCCATTCTCCCTTTGCAGATAGGCTCAAAGGAATAGATTTGAAAAGGAGCCTCAAAGTAGGTGTGACGCCGTCTGTAGCCTCCAGCCGGTTCAGGGCTCACTGGAGTTGCAGAACCCACAGCCCCAGGGCTTGGGAGCAGCGGTGCCTCATCTGTCCTCACAGCTGCTCCATTTGTTTCTGGGGGAAAGGCCAGCCTTCCCCGGAGCGCTGGCGGACCAGCATGGCCTGAGGGAGGGGTCCAGAAGCCAGGTGTGTGACTGGGCTGTGAGTCCCCCACCCCCACCCTTCTGCTTTCTGGAAGCTAAGCCTCCCTTTTACCAGCTCTTACCTGTGGAGGGAGTAGTGTCATTCTCATTAGATTTTAGTAGCAGCACCAGCACCAAAAGCAGAAGTGGCGGCAGCTGGGGGCGCGCCATTCCTGTGCCGGGAGGGCCTGCCACCGGCTCTGCACAGGTGTGTGGCCAGGCGTGTGCCCAGGTGCCAGCTCCTTGCACCTGGGCGTGCGCTCCCTGCTGGCGGAGTGCGGGGCTGTGCAGGGGCGACGTGTAGGTGGGGCTTCAGGGTGTGGGACCTCCCTGGGGAGCTCCTGTTCCCCTGGGGTGTGGTTCTCGCCCTCTTCATCTGGACTCCACCCCTTCTAAACATGACAACCCGGAAGCTCTCAAAGCCAGTCATCCACTAAAGACCCCTGCCCCTGACGTCCCCTTTCCCCCTGCTTCTGGCTCCACAGCGGCCCTCCTCCTGCCAGGTTGCCCCCTCTGGGAGCCCCTATTGCCCCCACCTCCCTCCTGTCCCTGAACCCACAGGGCTGGGGATATCCTTATCCTCCTCTGTCCTCTGTCTCACCCAGACGGGGGCCTTTTGGGGACATGACTGAAACCTTCTAACCTTCTAGCATTTCTATTACGGATTTCTTTCTCTTTTTTTTTTTTTTTTTTTTTTTTTTTGAGACAGAGTCTTGCTCTGTCACCCAGACTGGAGTGCAGTGATGCAATCTTGACTCACTGCAACCTCTGCCTCCCGGATTCAAGTAATTGTCCTGCCTCAGCCTCTTGAGTAGTTGGAATTACAGGCGTCCACCACCACACCCTGCTAGTTTTTGTATTTTTTTAGTAGAGACAGGGTTTCATCACATTGGTTGGCCAGGCTGGTCTCAAACTCTTGACCTCAAGTGTGATCCACCCACCTCAGCCTCCCTCCCAAACTGCTGGGATTACAGGCATGAGCCACTGTGCCCTTTTTTTTTTTTTTTTTTAGAGACAGGGTCTCACTCCATCGCCCAGGCTGGAGTGCAGTGGCACAATCACAGCTCACTGCATCCTCGAACTCCCGGATTCAAGGGACCTCCCACCTCCGCCTCCCAAGTAGCTGCGATTACAGGCATGCACCCCCGTGCCTGGCTAATTGTATTTTTTTTTTGAGACTGAGTTTAGCTCTTGTTGTCCAGGCGGGAGTGCAATGGCACGATCTTGGCTTAGGCACAACCTCTGCCTCCTGGGTCCAAGTGATTCTCCTGCCTCAGCCTCCTGAGTAGCTGGGATTACAGGCATGTGCCATCACGACTGGCTAATTTTGTATTTTTAGTAGAGATGGGATTTCTCCATGTTGGTCAGACTGGTCTCGAACTTCTGACCTCAAGTGATCCACCCGCCTCGGCCTCCCAAAGTGCTGGGATTACAGGTGTGAGCCACCGTGCCTGGCCTTTTTTTTTTTTTTTTTTTTTTTTTTTTTTTAGTAGAGATGGGGTTTTACCATGTTGGCCAGGCTGATCGCTAACTCCCGACCTCAGGTGATCCACCCGTCTTGGTTTCCCAAAGTGCTGGGATTACAAGCATGAGCCACGGCACCCAGCAATCCCGTAGGATTTTTTTAGGGGTGAGGGACTCGAAGTGGGTGCTCTGGGCCAGGTCCCAGACACATTTCTAGAGCGCACTGGGGACAGTTTCCATCTGGGACGGGCTGGACACCACCCCACTACCTGTAGGTGGAAATGGCAGGGGCACAGCTGAGACCACATTGGTGGCCCCTGACCTCCAGGAAAGACTTGAGGTCCTCATCCTGGCCACACACCCCAGATGCATATTGCATGGTTGGAAACTTTAGAGTTCTCTTCCCTCTGGGATGCTCCAGATTCCCCCACTATCCCCAAGCCACTTCCATTAACCCAGAACACATTACCCAAGATCTAGGCTGTGGAGGACTTTATTCATCAGACCCAGAGAGCCACGAGTGCCTCCCACAAAGTCCCCACTGCAGGGAGCCAGGGTCCTAGATGCCGGGCCAATGCATGTGCTGTGAACTGGCCCAATGCATGTGCTGTGAGCTGGACCAGGGGTCCGCTGGTCCCAAGAGCGCCTCTGTGCTCTTCAGACAGCTCCGGGTATGGTGGCCTCGCCAGGTGGCTTGAACTATCTTCGCTGCCATTTGCTGCTGCCTCATCTGCTGGCGGATCTTAAAACCTCTCCAGGCCGACTGAATGGCTATGGCCGCTTTGTCCCGGCGACGTGGCTGCCTGGGACTCAGGACAGCCCGCTGGTAGGCGGAGGCCCGAGACACTGCCCCGGGGCCCCCAGCACCCCGGCCCATGCCCTGCACCACGCGGGTGGGCTGGGTGCGTCCGCAGGTATGACAGGTGCGAGGGGTGGAGCCCACTAGCATCACCACGCTGGGCGGGCTCCCGATCCTGGAGCTCAGGGAGTGGCAGACGCCGCAAGGTTTTGCCTGGCAGGACTGGAAGCAGCGATGGTCGGATACTGTCCTGGCTCTGCCATCCTGGACCCAGCTTCGGTCAGACATGACCCCGGCCCCTCCACCCAGCTCCACCCACGTGATGGGGTGGAGCATCTGCCGGTGCCGGGCTTGGTCCCGGCGGGTGCTGTAGCCGCGCCAGGCGGCCTGGATGATTGTGGTGGCTCTGCAGAGGTGTGCCAGGTTCCGCCGCATGCGGTAGCCGCGCCAAGTAGCTTGGATGACCGTGGCCCGCCGGTGCCACACTCGAATCCTGCGACGCACCAGGTAGCCACGGACGCCGGCCTGGATAGTGGTCACTGCGAGGATGCGGATCTCCTCTGCAGCCTGCATGGACACCACCAGCTCCCCGGACTGCCTGGGATGCACCACTGCCTTGTTGCGCGGGGTCTCCCAGGACGCAGCACCCCTGGCTGGCTCCCACACGCGTTTCCACGATTGGCCACTAGCCACACCAGCGTCCACAGGGCCCTGAAGTATAGTGGAGTTCAGGGATGCCTTGTGACTAATGGCAGGATTCTGGGGGCTACAGGAGTCCTGCGATCCCCACGGTGACTCCTGGTTAACAAGGGGCGGCAGGGAACCACTGGGGGAAGACGGGTAGCCTAGAGACACCCTCCGAACTCCCAGGGCCGAGGACTGCGCTATCTCCCCAGTGCAGATGATGGGCCTTACCTCTGCAGAGGGCGTACCAGTGAAGTTTGTACCGCCTCGGGCTGAGGCCTGGGATGGTTGTCTTTGCACATACTGGAAGGGCCTAACCCTGGCCACAGAACTTTCTAGCAGTTCGGGAACAATACTACCGTGCACGGATCTGTAGGAATTTTTAGGGTCCATGGAGTCCCAGCGGCTGCTCTGAGCCAGGTTTCCAGACACTGTTTTCTGGAGCAGAATGGGGACAGCTTCTGTCCGGAAGGGACTGGACGATGCCCTTCTAGCCGAGGACAGATATGGTGGCACATGTGAGACCATGCTGGAGGTCCCTGACCTCTGAGGAAGACTAAGATTCCCCATCCTGTCCACAGACCCTGAAAGCAATCTGAAAGCCTCAGTACTGCCACGGGCCAGCTGGGGTGATCCTGAGAATACACTAGAAGCCACTGTACCCCGAGAGTGATTTTGGGGTATGACATGAGCGACAGACCCCTGTTGATAAATGGAGGGGGTCTTAGTGGCTAAACCCGGGGCCTGGAAAGGGACAGGGACCATGCCACTAGCATGGCAGGGGGCCACCTCCCTGAACAATGGTGTATGGCCTTGGGGAAGAGTCCCTTTCTCAGACAGGGACCTATGATCGCAGCCCCCATCAGCTCCTGGAGGACTGGGGTACATCCACGGGGTTGCACCAGTGACCCCAGCTTTGCTGATCAGGTCATTGGATCTGCTTGATCCTGACACTTGGGACAGAGGCCCATCCAATTCTCCCAGCTCGGCTTGGTCCCCTGTGGCCCCAGATGGCATTATCCCAGCATCTTGGCTCCATTGTAAGGCTCTTGACAGAACCGTGGGCACTCGGTGTAGACTCCTGACTGTGTCACTAGCTGCCGGGGCTGAGGAGTGACCTGGAGCCAGGCTGGTGGTGTGGGGAATCTGCAAGGGGGCCATAGACCTCTCCCTAGCCAGGGCTTTGTGGTAAGGAGGGGCAGTGATGCCAATCACCACGGACCCCTCGGAGCAGCTCTGAGCCACACTAGAGGCCCCCATCATTGGCACAGATCCAGGAGACACACCTGGGTTCACCCCACTCATTACTGAACCTAGGAGCAAGTTTGGAGCAGCTAAGCTAGCGGAGGGTCTTACAGATAGACTCGGCTTCTTGCTGTCTGCCATCGGGCTGGGAGCCACCCAATTGGACACAGAGCCTGCGGGAATGCTCTGACCCATGCCTCGGATGGTGGACCCTGGGGGAAGGCTGGAGGTCATGCCACCGGGCAGAGTGCCTGGGACTGTGCCTGTGCTCATCCTACTGGCTACGAAACCCCCTGCCGCACCAAGACCAGCCCGGCTCCTCAGGGAGTCCTGAAGAATCACATCTCCCTGATGGTAACTGGGTGGGACCGTGGGTGCCTCAGAAGGGTGCCTGTGGTCTACGTTTTTTGGAATAACCACACTGATCTGGGAGCTGCTGGGGCCCACGCTTTTCAGGGAAAGATTAGACGGAGTCACAGCCACTCTGTTGGGCACTGAAGCCAGAGAGGGGCTAGGGGCCATCCCTGTGGTTCCAGAGGGATGTGTTAAAGAGGCACCCACCTCTAAGACCTGGGATGCAAGGGAAGCTACCTGACATTGACTTTGGCCCATGCCAGTTGCTATGGTTCTCCAGGGGAGACCCCCAGCTAGGCCAGGAGATGTGGTCCCCTGAGACCCACTAAGGACCATAGCATCAACAAAGGGCCCCTGGGGATGTCTTGTAGCCACACCCCTCAACAGAGGCGTGATTTGCTGGCCTACACGACAGACTTCCTCATCAGCATGGGAGAGATTTGGTGTTGAAACACTAACCACAGAGGCTTGACACACATGCCTCCCACCAACCCTGGGCGGATGATGGAACCCAAGGCACAAGTCATTGAACTTGAAGTCCGGGGGGCTGGATACCATCTCACTAACCATCAGGGGCTCTTCACACAGGTTCATCCCAGTACCCAGGGATGGCTGGTTCGGACCCTGGTCCATACTTCCAGCCACAGAGGGATATGGTCCACCCGGGCTAACTGAAACAAACGCTGATGGGTGACACAGGCACGGGGCTACTGAGTTCACCCTTGAACACTGCAGGTTTGAATCCACCCTAGAGCCCCAGCATGGCTCATTGAGGCCATGACACATACCACTGACCACAGATGGCTGGGATCGGCTTGGGGCCAACCTAGAGTCCGGGGGTGACTGAGCCAGGCTTAGGGCTTCCCGGTGGGCCACAGATGGTGGAAATAGGCCAGGAGCTATGACTGGCTCGGCTAGGCTGGGGGCTAGGGTACAGGATGAATATGTCTTGCCTGGGCTGGAAACCACAGATGGTTGGGCTTGCCTTGAGGATACTGCAGTGGTCTGAGATGGGTGGACTAAGCAGGGGGCCACCTCACTGGCCACAGATGGATGAGCTAGGCTTGGAGACAACCCACGGGGTCCTGATGGGTGGGCTAGGCTTGGGGACACACCAATGGCTTGAGATGGCTGGGCTGGGCTTAAGGACCCCACACAGGTCATAGGTCGGTGGGCTAGACTTGAAGACATCCCTGTGGCTTGAGATGGCTGGGCTAGGCTTGGGGATACACCACAGGCCATAGTTTGATGAGCTAGTCTTAAGGGCATCGCAGTGGCTTGAGATAGCTGGGCAAAGCTTGGGGACACCTCACTGGGTGTAGATCGATGAACTTGGCTTGGGGACACCCTACAGGTCACAGATACATGAGCTTGGCTTGGGGATATCCTGCTGGTAATAGATGCATGAGCTTGGCTTGGGGATGCCCTGGAGGTCACTGATGTGGAATCTCGTCTAAGGGACATCCCACTGGCTTGAGATGGCTGGGCTAGGCTTGGGGAAACCCTACTGGCCACAGATTGGTGGGCTACACTTGGGAACACCCCAGTGACCTGAGATGGCCAGGTCAAGCTTGGTGATTCCCCAGTGGCCTGAGGAGTCTGGGCCAGGCTTGGAGACCCCTGAATGGCCATAGATGGGTGAGCTAGGCTTGGGGACACTCCAATGGTCTGAGATGGCATGGCTAGGCTTGGGGACACTCCAATGGTATAAGATGGCATGGCTAGGCTTGGGGACACTCCAATGGTATAAGATGGCATGGCTAGGCTTGGGGACACTCCAATGGTGTAAAATGGCATGGGTAGGCTTGGGGACACTCCAGTGGTCTGAGATGGCATGGCTAGGCTTGGGGACACTCCAATGGTCTGAGATGGCATGGGTAGGCTTGGGGACACTCCAATGGTGTAAAATGGCATGGCTAGGCTTGGGGGCACTCCAACAGTCTGAGATGACATGGCTAGGCTTGGGGACACTCTGATGGTCGGAGATGGCTGGGCCAGGCTTGGAGACTCCCCAGGGGGCTGAGATGGGTAGGCTGGGCTTGGGGACATCTCAGTGGGCTGATATGGCTGGGCCAGGCTTGGGGACTCCCCAGTGACCATAGATAGGTAGGTTGAGCTTGGGGACACCTCAGTAGGCTGAAATGGCTGGGCTAGGCTAGGGGACTCCACAGTGGCCACACATGGGTAGCCTGGGCTTGGGGACACCTCAGTGGCCATAGATAGGAAGGCTGGGCTTGGGGATATCTCAGTGGGTTGATACAGGTAGCCTGGACTTGGGGACACTTCAGTGGTCAGAGATAAATAGCCTGGGCTCGGGGACATCTCAGTGGCCACAGATAAATAGCCTGGGCTTGGGGACATCTCAGTGGGTTGATATATGGGCGCCTGGGTTTAGGACATCTCAGTGGGCTGATGTGGGTAGCCTGGGCTCGGGGACATCTCAGTGGCCACAGATAAACAGCCTGGGCTTGGGGACATCTCAGTGGCCACAGATAAGTAGCCTGGGCTGGGGACATCTCAGTGGCCACAGATAAATAGCCTGGGCTTGGGGACATCTCAGTGGGCTGATGTGGGTAGCCTGGGCTTAGGGACATCTCAGTGACCATAGATAGGAAGGCTGGGCTTGGGGACATCTCAGTGGCCATAGATAGGTAGCCTGGGTTTGGGGACACCTCAGTGGGCTGATATGGGTAGTCTGGGCTTGGGGACACCTCAGTGGGCTGAGATCGCTGAGCCAGGGTTGGGCACTCCCCAACAGCCTGAGATGGGTAGGCTGGACTTAGGGACACCCCAAAGGCTTGAAATGGCTGGGTTAGGTTTGAGGTTACCCCAAGGGCTTGAGATGGCTGAGCTAGGCTTGAGGACTCCCCACTGTCCATAGATGACTGGGCTAGGTTTTGGGACCCCCAGTTAACCACTGATTGGTGACTTTGGTCTGAGGCCACTCCAAAGGTCCTTGATGGGTGTCCTCGGCTTAGGGACCACCTAGTCACCATAGATGGCTGTGCTGGTCTTAGTGTCACTCTATTAGGCATAGAGGAGTGTGGTAGCCTTGGTGTCACCCAATTACCCATAGATGGGCAGGTTAGCCTTGGGGACACCTTACTGGATGCTATATGCTGGGATAGGCTTGGGGCCAGCCTACTGAACCCCGATGGCTGGCCTAGGTTTGGGGCTACCCTACTGGCCAGTGTAGCCTGGGACACACTTGGGGCCAAGCTCTTGGCCACAAATGGTGGCTTATATGCAGTGGAGACCACAGTACCTAAAGACAGAGTCCTCCTCAGCTCTGTCTTGATGGTTGCCTGGGACATCTCAATCAGATTCACAGAGCTCTTGTCTAAGGAGAACTTGTGGATCTCAGTCTCTGAGCCCCAGTGAACACGCAAGGTCAAGCAGTTAGACACTGAGCTGTGTTGGACAATGGGTACTTTCTCCGAGGCTGGAGTGGGCCGGTAGGGAAAGTGTAGGGTCATATATGTATAACCAGTTTCAGTCTCTTGCGTATCCTTAAACCTCTGGAGTGTCCTCATGGACCCTGGAGGAAAAAGGGACTTCACCGCAAGGTCCCCTTCTAAATTGCCTTCCCATGACTCATCTGTCTTGTTGACAGCAGGCAGGCTGGCCACAGACATGGCGGAAAGGCTGTGGGAGCTAGAGCTTTGCAGGGAGCTTTCGGAATTGCTCTCCTGACTGTAGGTCACAGAGCCCTGGGAGAAGCTCCTGGCCAGGTCACTGTCTCGATCCTGCGGCAAACCATCTACCAGCTCACCGAGGATGGACAGCTGGTGGTCGGTTGCCAGCTTCTGGGGGCAGAGCAGGGCAGACACAGAATCCTGTGTTCGATTCCTCCCCTGTCCACAGACAGATGTCTTGGGACGAACTTGAGCCAATGCACTGCCGGGGGAAGCTTGAAACAGACCACGAGTCTTGGATGCCTGAGTTTTGGTCACCATGGTGACCTGCAAGGGACTTAGGGCCCCCTTGTCTATCACCTCCCTAGTACCCGGGGATGCCTGTTTGCGATTTGGGGGCTGAGACCTCCTCCCCCGGCTCTCCTTGGAAGCCCTGGATGCCTGCTGCTGGCCTCTGGCCACAGAGGGTTGGTAGAGACCAGGATGTGCCCTGCTAACCCCTGAGGACTGACACCAAGTCAGGCTCCCACAGGTGGGGTAAGGCTGGTGAACATGGGCAGCCCTCCCACCGCCCACGCTGCACGGAAGCCTACCCGAGGCCACCCTGCTGACCACATGTGGCTTGTGGCAGCTCGGGGCCGTGCCACAGGTCATGGAGGGCTGGTCCATGCTTGGGCCCACACCACTGGCAACGAGAGGCTGCCACAGACTCGGGGTTGGCTGCACGTGGGACGGCTTGAGCAAACTGGGACCCTCCCCACTCCCCTCGGGATTAAAATCTGATGCCAATGTGCCAGGCTCTAGGGTCGGGCGTGCATTTTCCTTTTGGAACTTGGGGCTCAAATCCAGGTTTGAGGAGAAGTCCCTGCTGGGCTCCAACTCCCGGGACAGCATGGGATACAGGCCAGTGATCAGGGAGCCCTGGTACATGCTGGTGATGACGCTACCCATCACAGAGGCTCCCACAGTGACCACCGATAAGCAGGGTGACCCCCACAAGACGGCACCGTCCCCCATCTCCTCCAAGGGCCTGGCAGGTTGGCCCATGGTAAAGCATCCCCAGATCCCAACCTGGGAATCCCTGACCTTGCTGGTCTGTGGTCTCACAGGGCCCAGGGAGGGCCCCCACGCGGCCGACGGACTCCTCCTGCAGGCCACCTCCGCCGGGGCCAGCGTCTTAGTCACCCCGCTTCCTGTTGATTTCGAGGTGGCCTTGGGGAGGGTGGTTCCAGTCCTCAGGGCCACCCGACACCAAGACTGGCTCAGGAGAGCGCCCAACTCGCCCTGACACAAGGCCTGGCTCAGAGCTGCCCGCTCCTCCTCCGTCAAAGCCTTGCTAAGCACCTCGGCCAATTTACCCTGCATGACCTTGGTGAGTTCTGCCCGCAGCTCGCCCTGGGACAGGGCTCGGGACAGGGTCAGGCGCAGCTCACTCCAGGACAGCGCCTTCACCAGCGCCATGCTCAGCATGCTCTGGGGCAGGGCTCTGGCGACAGTGGCACCCAGGACCTCCTTGGACAGGGCCTGGTTCAGAGCTGCCCGGACTTCTCCCTGGGAGAGGGCTTTGGCCAAAAGAGTGCGGAGATCCTCCTGGGATGCCAGCACACCAGCTACTTCAGCACACAGGGAGGCCAGCAGGGAGCCTACCGTGTCCTCCTGGCAGGGCACCACCTGGCTGGGCATTGATGGCTGGGCACGCGTGGCTCCGCTGTCTCCCCAGGACTCAACATAGCATGTGGAATGTCCGGTGGGTGCCATCAGCGGCACCAGCGTACCCTGGACCTCACAGGCTGCCGGGCATGGTCCCCCCTGAGTGGTCTTCCCCGGCACGTGTCTGTGGGGCTGTGGCTGAGTCCGTCTGTCCTCTGGCTTGGCCCAGGGTGGGGCACTCAAGCCACCGAGGTGCTGGCAGGCCTGGTTGGACACCTTGGACCCTGTTAGGAGCACCTGGGAATGGGTGTTGCTGCTGAGATCAGCAGCCTGGTGAGCTGGGATGAGGCGCTTGGTTATGATCGGCTGCCCCGGGGACTGCGTCTTGGTCAGACAGGTGGCCAGAGGCGCTTGGGATTGGACCTTCATGGCACCTGTGGCCAGATGTGCCTGGGAATGCATCTTGCTCAGACAGGTGACCAGATGGGCCAGGGATGGGGTCTTGGTCAGCTCGATGGGCAGATGTCCCTGAGATGAGGCCTTGGTCAGCGGGGTGGCCAGTGGTCTCTGGGACAGGCAAGGTGGATGTCTCTGGGATGAGGCGTTGGTCAGTGGGGCAGCTGGCTGTCCCCGGGGCAGGGTGACAGCCATGTCTACAGGCACATACAGGTGAGATGGCTTGTCCCCTTCCTCAGCAACTTTTGTCCAGGATGGAGCCCCAGCCACTTCCACTGCCACACTGGTCTTCAATGCCATGTCTGTTTTCACCGGTTTCTGGGGGCCAGTCTTGATTTTCTCAGCTTCCAAAGGAAGCTTAGCTGGAGCCCTAGGGACCCCAGTTCCCAGACGTGATTGGGCCAGGTACCTGATCTTCCCCTCAGACAAATAGGAGGGGGATGAGGCTTTCACCGCCTCTGCAGCCTGCTTCATATTCATGGTGGCCTTGGCCTTGGGTGGGTTGTCATGGATGGAGCCTCGTACCGCCACTTGGGGTGGAGCCTTGACATTTGCCACTGTTGGAGAGGCCAGACACAGGGTCTTGAGGATGGTGGCCACTGAGCGTAACTGGGCTGGGGTCTTGGTTATCATGGCTGCCAGGCGAGTCTGGGGCGAGGGCTTGGTCAACCCAACTGGGCTCATCTGGGATGAAGTCTTGGACATGGTGGCTGCCAGACACGTTTGCACTGGGTTTTTGGCTGGGGTGGCGACCGGGTGCGTCTGGGGTGGGGTCTTTGCCATCGCAGGCCCTGGGCATACCTGGGGTGGGCTCTTCATGATGGAGGCTAGAAGGGAAACCTGAGGTTGGTGCTTTGCCGTGATGGTTGCACAGCATGTCTGCCATGGGGTGCCAGTTCTGGAAGCTGTGGAGTGCACCTGGATCTTGGTCATCGTGGGCATGGGGCATGTGTGAGGTGCAGTTTTGGTCATGACTGTGGGCCCCGGATACATCTGGGCTGGGGTCTTGGTTATTGTTATTTTGGGAACAGGGCTAGTCTTGTGTGGAGTGGTGGCCGTCGTGGATGCTGAATATGTCTGCGGCAGGGTCATGGAGACCACCGGATATGTCTGGAGTAAGGTCTTGGTGATCACAGGCCCTGGGCATATCTGGAAAGGGGCTTTGGGGGTCTCTGCTTCCACAGGGCCCTGAGTTTGGGCTCTGGATGGTCCCATAACTTCCTTGTCATACCTTCTGGACAATGGTGTCTCTGGAACCCCGGCTTTGTTGGTCCGGGCAGTTACACGTTTGGTTTTCACTGAGTCACCCTCTATGTGGACGAGGCAGGTGCTTCTGATGGTTCTGGTCAGCAAGCATGACTGGCATTTTGCATCCAGACTCACTGGGCAGGGAAATCTGATGGTGACCGTCTGGTGTGGCAGGAAGGCCACCCCCCGGACTCCAGCAGCATGAGGAGCCTGCACGCAGGGTTCTGGGGTACCCTGAGCTGCTGGAGGCTTCAGGAGGGGGGATGACTGGGGTCTGCAGAGGACCAGATTGTCATGGGAAGGAAACTGGGTCTCCTTGTTCACCATGACGGGCGGGGACAGAAGGCAGTTCTCTTCCGGATGCTGGAAGCGCACCTGCTGCGGGGTGTGATAAGGGATGTTCCCGTCCTCCACCCTCACTTTCTTCACCAACAACTTGCTGGAGTGCAGGATGTGTCTCTTGTTGAAGCGCCGCCATGCCTCCTGGATGGCCTTGGCCGCCGTCATCTGGGAAATCAGCTTCTGCCGGAGCCGATAGCCCCTCCAGTTGGCTTGGATGAGTGTGGCTGCACGGGCGTGCATCATGTCCATCTCATCTACCAGGATGTTCTTGAAGGCCTGGCTCTCGACCACAGCCCGGAGGCGTGGGATGTGGCGGGACACTGTCTTGGCTTCAGCAGGCTGTTGCGGAAGATGCTCCTCGGACTTGAGGCCCTCGTGCTGGGGCTGTGGAGGCGCTTTCTCCATTTTGTCCGGGAGACTAGGGGTGGGCGGGGGCTGGAGGATGCACTGCCTATTGGGTGACAAGTGGTTCGTGAACTGTAGCTGGGTGGCCGGCTGCATTGCCTTGATTACTGGACAGGTCAGCTCTGCCTGTGGGGGCGGCAGGGGGTGGTCAGTGTGTAGCAGGTCCTGCAGACAAGAGGTCATCCTATGGCCACTTCATCCTGGCACACAGTGCATGACACCTGAATGCCGGACCACTTAACTGCTTTTCTTTTTTCTTTCTTTTTGTTTTTTGTTTGTTTTTGAGACAGAGTTTCGCTCTTGTTGCCCAGGCTGGAGTGCAATGGTGTGATCTTGGCTCACCGCAACCTCCACCTCCCGGTTTCAAGTGATTCTCCTGCCTCAGCCTCCCGAGTAGCTGGAATTACAGGTGTGTGCCACCATGCCTGGCTACTTTTCTGTATTTTTAGTAGAGACGGGGTTTCACCGTGTTGGCCAGGCTGGTCTCAAACTCCTGACCTCAGGTGATCCGCCTGCCTCGGCCTCCCAAAGTGCTGGGATTACAGGTGTGAGCCACTGCGCTCGGCCTGCTTTTCAAACTTTATCTTGGATGTACCCTGGGTTTAGCACTGATCACAATGTTTTGGAAATTTCCTGTTTGCCTCTGTGTGTGTGTGTGCGCGTGCGTGTGTGCGTGCGTGTGTGCGTGTGTGTGCGCGTGTGCGTGCGCGTGTGCGTTTGCGTGTGTGTGTGCGTGTCTGTGTGTGTGTGTGCGTGTGTGTGTGTGTGTGAGAAAAGGATAGAGAAGTGTGGTGGGGGAGATTATTTGCCTCTCCCATTGACTGTGAATCCCAGAAGGCAGAGTCATTATTGTGTCCCATCTCAGTCATAGGGCTTGGTTCTAAGCTGCGAATGGGTAGGTAGTGGGTGGGCGGGCATCTTGACTGATAAATGGTGAGTGGATTGGAAGTTGGATGGACAGATAGATATAGGACTAGATACTGAAAGGATGAATCAGTCGATGAGTGAATGGTAGATGGGTTGGAGAAACAGATGAAGGTTTGGATGAATAGGTAAATTAAGTTGATGAATAAAGTCTTAAAGGCAAATTGGCCGGGGGGGTGGCTCACATCTGTCATTCTAGCACTTTGGGAGGCCAAGGTGGGCAGATTGCTTGGGGTCAGGAGTTCGAGGCCAGCCGGGCCAACATGGTGAAACCCTGTCTCTACTAAAAATACAGAAAAGTAGGCCGGGCACAGTGGCTCACACCTGTAATCCCAACACTTTGGGAGGTCCAGGTGAGTGGATCACAAGCTCAGGAGTTCGAGAGCAGCCTGGCCAACATGGTGAAACCCCATCTCTACTAAAAATAAAAAAATCAGCTCAGCATGGTGGCACGTGCCTGTAATCCCAGCTACTCAGGAGGCTGAGGGAGGAGAATTGTTTGAACCTGATAGGTGGAGGTTGCAGTGAGCCGAGATCACGCCACCTCACTCCAGCCTGGGTGACAGAGCAAGACTCTGTCTCAAAAAAAAAAAAAAAAGAAAACAAAAGGAGCCAGGTATGGTGGCATGCGCCTGTCGTCCCAGCTACTCGGAAGACTGAGGCAGGAGAATCGCTTGAAGCCGGGAGGAGGAGGCTGCAGTAAGCCAAGATCATGGCATTACACTCCAGCCTGGGCAACAAGAGCAAGACTCTGTCTCAAAAAAAAAAAAAAAAAGACTGGGCGCGCTGGCTTATGCCTGTAATCCCAGCACTTTGGGAGGCCGAGGTGGGTGGATCACGAGGTCAGGAGATCGAGACCATCCTGGCTAACATGGTGAAACCCCATTTCTTTTTTTTTTTTTTGAGACGGAGTGTCTTGCTCTGTCGCCCAGGCTGGAGTACAGTGGTACCATCCTGGCTCACTGCAAGCTCCGCCTCCCGGGTTCATGCCATTCTCCTGCCTCAGCCTCCCAAGCAGCTGGGACTATAGGCGCCCGCCACCACACCAGGCTAATTTTTTGTATTTTTAGTAGAGATGGGGTTTCACCGTGTTAGCCAGGATGCTCTTGATCTCCTGACCTTGTGATCCCTCCGCCTCAGCCTCCCAAAGTGCTGGGATTACAGGCGTGAGCCACCACACCTAGCCCCATCTCTTCTAAAAATACAAAAAATTAGCCAGGTGTGGTGAGAGATGCCTGTAGTCCCAGCTACTTGGGAGGTTGAGGCCGAGATCGTGCCACTGCAGTCTAGCCTGGATGACAGAGCGAGACTCCGTCCCGGAAAAAAAAAAAAAAAAAAAAAGACAGATTAACAGAAAAATGGACACGTAGTGGGTGGGTGGATGGATGGATGGATGGATGGATGGATGGATGAGCAGATGAGTGAATGAGCAGATGAATGGATGGAGGGATAGGCGAATCAATTGATGAATAGATGGGTGGATGGATAAACGGATAGAGGGAGGGAGGGAAGAACAGGTAAGTAGATGGATGGAGAGAGGGAGGAATAGGTGGCTGGATGGATAGATGGATGGTTAGATGGAATGATAGTTGGATGGAGGGATGGACAGACACATAGATGAATGGATGGATGCAGGGGTGCTGGATGAATGGATGGATGGATGGGCAGATGGGTGGATAGATATGTAAATGGACTGGTGAATAGATAGGTGGATGGATGGGTAGATGGATGGATGGATAGATGGAGGGACTGATTGATCAATGGATAGAGGGAGGAAGGACTATGTGGATGCATGAACAGATGAATGGGTGGATGCATGAGTGGATGGATGGATGCTTGCATGGATGGATGGATAGATGGGTAGGTAGATGGGTAGATGGAAAGATGGAATGATGGGAGGGTGGGAGGATGAATGGATACATAGATGACTGGATGAATGATGGATGGTGGATGGGTAGCAGGAGGGATAAATGTAAGGAAGGATGAATGAATGAATGAGTGAGTGGGTAGATAGATGTAAGATGAGTAGATAAATGAATGTGAAATTAAAGAAGGCCAGGCACAGTGGCTCACGCCTGTAATCCCAACACTTTGGAAGGCCGCGGCAGGTGGATAACCTGAGGTCAAGAGTTCAAGACCAGCCTGACCAACATGGCGAAACCCTATCTCTACAAAAAAATACAAAAAAGTAACCAGGCGTGACGGTGCATGCCTGTAATCCCAGCTACTCAGGAGGCTGAGGCAGAAGGTTGCAGTGAGCCAAGATTGCACCATCACACTCCAGCCTGGGCAATAAGAGTGAAACTCCATCTCAAATAAAAGGAAGGAGGGAGGGGAGGGGAGGGGAGGGGAGGGGAGGGGAGGAAGGAAGGAAGGAAGGAAGGAAGGAAGGAAGGAAGGAAGGAAGGAAGGAAGCCCAGACACCCACCAGGGCCCAGGAGCCTTTAAATCTGTTCTCAGAAAGCTGAACTCTCTTCCTCTCCAGTTGCGGCCACTTTTAAATCATTTATTTTAGAGACAGGGTCTCACTCTGTCACTCAGGTTGGAGCAGTAGCGATCACAGCTCACTGCAGCCTCGATCTCCTGGGCTCAAGTGATACTCCCACCTCAGCCTCCCGAGTAGCAAGGATTACAGGCATGCACCACCATGCCTGACCAACCTTTTTTTTTTTTTTAATTGAGACAGGGTCTTGCTCTGTCACACAGGCTGGAGTGCAGTGGCGTTATCTCAGCGTACTGCAACTTCCATCTCCCAGGATCTAGTGATCCTCCTACCTCAGCCTCCCAGGAGCTGAGACTACAAGTGTGTGCCACCACACCCAGCTAATTTTTGTATATTTAGTAGAGATGAGGTTTTGCTATGTTGCCCAGGCTGGTCTCGAACTCATTGACTCAGGTGATCCTTCTGCCTCAGCCTCCCAAAGTGCTGGAATTACACGTGTGAGCCACTGAGCCCAGCCTAATTTTTAAATTTTATTTTATTTTATTTATTTATTTATTTATTTATTTTTGAGATGGAGGTTTTTTTGTTTTTTTTTTTTCTCCAAGACGGAGTCTTGCTCTGTCTCCCCAGATGGAGTGCAGTGGTGCAATGTCGGCTCACTCCAATCTCCATCTCCTGGGTTCAAACAATTTTCCTGCCTCAGCCTCCCAAGTAGCCTGATTACAGGCACCCGCCACCATGCCTGGCTAATTTTTGTATTAGTAGAAATGGAGTTTCACTCATGTTGGCCAGGCTGGATCTTGGAAATCCTGACCTCAGGGGATCCACCCACCTTGGCCTCCCAAAGTGCTGGGATTACAGATGTGAGCCACCACGCCAAGCCATTTATTTATTTGTTTGTTTTTATATTTATTTATTTATTTATTTATTTATTTATTGAGACGGAGTCTCGCTCTGCAGCCCAGGCTAGAGTGCAGTGGAGCGATTTCATCTCACTGCAACCTCTGCCGCCTGAATTCAAGTGATTCTCCTGCCTCAACCTCCCGAGTAGCTGAGAATACAGGCGTCTGCCACCGCGCCTGGCTAATTTTTGTGTTTTAGTAGAGTCGGGGTTTCACTGGCCAGGCTGGTCTTGAACTCTTGACCTCGTGATATACCCCCTTGGCCTCCCAAAGTGTTGGGATTACTGGGCGCCAGCCACCATGCTCCGGCCATTCTTAGAGATTTTTTGTAGAGACAAAGTCCTGCTATTTTGCCCAGGCCCAAACACATAATGTATAACCTGTCTCCCCACCACAGCAAATATTAGTTTCCTTGCCCATCGCTGCGTGCCCAGCCCCGACATACACTAGGCACTTAATAAATGCGCATAGCATGGAAGGAATTAGATAATGAGCAGAGACAGCAAGCCCTTCCTAGAACATTCTCGGCTACTCTCCCCTAGTGGTCAGTTCCCAAACTGCAGTCTGTTACACCTGCCACCTCCCTACAAACACCCAAATTCTTAATACTACCTGGGCCAGGGGCTCCAAGGTCTGGTCAGTGGAGGCTGGGGGCCTGGTTCCGGGGCTGTGGGAAGTGGGGCTCCAGTGCGGGGTCAGGGATTCGAACTGGGGAGGGTGGAATGGGAAGAGGGGGTGAGTCTCTGCATTGGGGGAACCAGAATCCAGTGCGTGGGTTGTCTCCTGGTTGTGGGGACGCAGGGAATCATCCTTGGATCAGGAACCGGGGCCAGGCTGATGGTAGGGGTTGCCCCTGAATCCTGAGGGGCTGAGGTGGGTCATGGAGCTTGTCTCCAAACTCAGGGGGCTGGAGTAGGTTTTGGGGGTTCCCTGAACTGAGGGTGTTGTGGGTGAAGGAAGAAGAAATCAGAGAGCTGAGAGATGATGTCTCCATACTGTTCTCTGAGGTCGTACCTGAAAACAAAAACATCATTGGAAGCCAGGCGCGGTGGCTCACGCCTGTAATTCCAGCACTTTG